CGGTGGCGAGATAGGGAATGCGAAGATAGAAGTGAGCGTGACAGGGGCAGACGGCCCTTGGGCAGGGACGCGACTCACAGGTCGTATGGCTGTCTATAGGCATTGTCGAGTCATTGAACACACGCAAGCCGCCATGGTCAGTGTCTGGGACGACAGACAGCCTGTGGTCGATCCATATGTCGTGCTGGGTGCACCAGCTGAGCAGGGTCGATACCACGTCACGAGCATCTCCAGGCATTCTAGGATCGGCGAAACCTCGAAACTCACGTCGGTGGGAGCAGCACCGTCCAGAAAAAGAGCGTAGCGGCCGACGAGACGGCGGTGGTGAGCAGCAGCTGGTGGGCAGTGGACGCGTCTCGTCCAGAACAAGTAAAGCGTTCTCACGTTGCACTCGGCCTGTGCTCTCCTCTCCCGGGGCAAGCCAACGTTTCTGACAGTCCCTTTCTGACAACGTAAGATGGAAAGCTTATGGGCCATGGCACATTCTCCCCCGTAACGTACTGAGACATCGTCGTAACATTCGTGAAAAGTAACGAAGCACCACACAAATAAGAGCATGAAACTACCCAATGAGACCACCTACTGGCAAGCTGCCGGTCTTTATTGGTCTTTCTTGTTCTCGCCTGCCGCCGACGTCGCCGTCGCAGACCTATCCTTCTTGTCTAGCTCTGCGAGCCTAGCCAGCTCCTTGGCCTCGGTACGCCGTGCATACTCCTCCCCAGCCTGTAAAAAAGCGTCCGATCACGCACCCGGGCGAGTGTAAAGATATCGGTCAGCACACGTACGTAGAGCGCACTGTCACGCTTTGCGTAAGGGGAACTACACACCTGAAGGAAAAGCACTCCGCCAAGGAGAGCGATGACGATCGTATTCCCCGCCGAGAGCAGGCGAAGGGCCTCAATTTGGTCTTCGCGCGTGTCCACGCCCTCGACTGGGGTCGCGATTGTCCTCGACGCAGGCAGGCCCACCGAAAGATAGACGGACAGCGCAAATATATACGCCGCTGTGGGAAGATGGTACCGTCCAATACCCGGTTTGCGTCAGCGGCAAGAATTGGGCACGGCCAGCGGAGCGACGTACCGAGTGAGGACCCGTCAAACCATTTTGCACCCTCGTCCATTCTGACAAGTTTCCCGACGAGACCTATTATTCCAACACCCATAATTGCATGCATGAGAGCCTATAGCAGGGAGATAAAAAGCTGTGAGCTGCGAGGTGACACGAATGGGTATGAAGCGTACCTTGATGGCTGGAGGCGAGTGGAAGAACGTCGTGTAGAACTCAAGTCCATCTCTGACGACGTCTTCCGTCAACGGCGTGAAGAGTACACGATAGTCGACGTTCATGCATATGAACAAGACACCTGTCCGCCTTGAGCCCCATTGCCCCCTGGCCAGAGACGGCGGACTCACCGAGAAAGAAACAAACAGAGGAAAGGACGGCAGCTTGCCTGAAGCCCATCTCGCTTTTGCTATGTGTGTCGTGTGCGGGGGCAGAGGCAGCTGGCGGTCGTGCGCATTGGCCAAGAGCACCAACATCTCGAAGCGGACAGTAGCAACTGGTTCCTGGCGCCCAATCAACCCCATCACGCGCAGCGCGCCCTTTCCCAGAATGGCAGGCGTGGTCTGTCTGACCCTTTACCCGCCATTTGTCCATCGTCGGGTGGCCTTGGAGACCAATATCCAGACTTTGACTAGCCTGACTCCCGCACAGCGACACGAATATATATGTGGACCCACAAGCAAACACTAGTTCTAGGCAAGGCCTGCTTTTTGCCTATCCGGACTGTCCTCCGTTCTGTCGATGAGGCCATGACTCGTCGGGATATTACAGTGCGTATGCGAAGCAGATACCGATAAGTAATGGTCCATGAAAGGTCGTGAGAATGATAAGATAGCATGTACATTGATACGGGTATCTATGAGCGAGTCAGGACAAGTACACCAGTACTATGCCAGTACGCCGATCGGTATATCGTGAATAATGCCGGAAGGGAGACATCGTCGCAAGTGTGGAGCCACAGTGAAACTAGAAGCCGCAGCTCATGGCGAGCGCTGCTCGCCGAGAGCAGCCATGATGATTCAAAAGAAATGCCGAGCACACGACCATGACAAATGCCGATAGGGTCTATCTCGGTGTATGCGGCGACGACGGGACGACGCCAGGCGACGCCGGCAGCCGCGGCGGCGTGTGCAAACTGCTATGGGGCGACGGACGCGGTGAGATGGGGAGACCCGTCGCTTGGCTCTGTCTTCGGCTCGCCTTGTCGTTCGTCGCAATGTTCAGGCCTCGGTTTGCCGCGACTGCCGCCGCCTTGTTGCGCGGCGTGGACGGCGCTGCGCTGCCGCGATCTCCAGGGTGCAGGTAACTGTCTTGTTGAGGCGGAGCAGACGTTCCCGAGTCGTGTGTCACCGAAGATTCTGCGAGAGACTCGTTTTCGGGGTCGCCGGTGCCCTCCGTACTGCTGTCGTCGTGGACAGAATATTCTTCGCCTTCACCGTCGTCCGATTGCGCGTCCTCCGCTACAAAGAAGGTGAAATCCGATGTCAGAAGCCGCGTTCGTCATAGGGCCTCGGGAGTAATAAGATGTTACGCACCGGTGAGTGTCCGCCCTGACAAACCAAGCATTTGGTCTGCCGCGGCGTCTGAGTAGCGCTTGCTGTTACGTCTGCCGAAGTCGACACGCCCTGGGTCTTCATTTTGTGCCACGGGCGCATCCTCGTCGAGTTCGCCGTCGACATTAAAAACGCGTTTGAACTCGCCGAGCATGAGGCTGAATACGCCCGCGGGAATACCCAGCGTCGGGCTGAATACTATACCCACGTTGCGTATCGTCATCTTGTTTACGTGCGCGTTCTGCACGATGAGGATGAGGTGCGCCGTGAGGGCACGCAGGAGGCTATAGTTCGCGATCGGCAGCGCTGCGATAAGTTGTGACAGCTCTGTGATACGCTCCTGGGGATCGACAAAATCTGGGAATTTTGGGGATCGGTGGGAAAACTTCAGGAGCAATGTTTATGAGGACACTCACCGATGACAGACAAGAATCGCAGGTGCAGGTCGCGCGTGAGGATGCTTGCAGGAAGTTCCCGAAGGAAAGTCTTGAGTAGCCCCGCAATAGCATGCGGGTCCCAGAATTCGTCTGAGCCCAAGAGATCAACGTCACCCTCTACGGTATGGCTGTCAGTCAAACTCTGCAACGAAGGAAAGTTTGAAACTCACCATTGTTGAAGCGGTCCTTCAGGGCCTTGATGACAGCTGAGCTTCCGCTGAGACGGTAGATTCCTTCCTCCTGGTCGGCTTTCTTTGCCTCCAGATACTGGATGCAGCGGAAGACGATCGCGGGCAAGCTTGCAATCTCTGCCACGTCCAGCGACTCCTCGAGGCTTACGCCAAACACTGCCCTTGGGACATGTACAGGCATGTTTGGTTTGTCTGCAGGTAGCACACTCAGCTTAATGTCACGTAAGTTCACACGTAGCTACTCACCATGTTGCATCCGGCCGAAGCCCCAGAAGGACCTAGACTTGGCTTTCTCCCTACGGTCGTTGGGTGACGAGGCGTCCGGCGACGGCGCATCCTTCCCTCCAAACTTGTAGCCTGCTGGTATGGGAGTGCCATTCATCGGCCCAGAGATCTTGACCTTGCCATTTGCATCTACGCGTGGGGTCTGCACGGCAGGCTCCCGCTCGGGCGATGGCGCCCGCTCAGAGGCGGCTGACGTCTTCAGCGGGTTCATCGACCGCCGCCGCTCCTTACGCCGCTGCTCCGGTGGTGCCATTGCCAAAGGAAGCCTCGCCTTGGACACTGTGCGCTGGTCCGACATGTCCGAATAGTGGCCCATCTCTGAGTTCGCACGTTGTCCCCCTGCGGGAAGCATGTCCGGGTCCTCCCCACCGACAAGGGGAGACGATATCGGGAGTGAACTCGAGAGCTGTTCGGGGACAGTGACAGTCTGAGTTGTTGTTTTGGTGGCGCTATCGTCCGGAACGGGTGCAGACTGGAAGAGTTTCGCGTTGTTTGCGTCAGGCGCAAGCTGCGAGATCGGTACCGCTGCGCCCTTGGCAATCTCCATATTCCGCGCACGCCGCGTAGGCGTTCCCTGTGAGTCGGAAGGTGCCTCCGAGCTGATGCTTACACGCGAGTCGGCCGCGCCTGGTAGATCGTCTTCATACCGCCCTGTTACGTAGCGCACGAGGATTTCGACCCAGCTGTCGCGCTCTTCGTCGCTTTCTGCGCAGAGAACGTGCCTAGGATGAGGGCCGCCAGGACCACGTTTGGCCTCGATGATCAAGAACGCATGTCGGTATTCGTTGTCTTCATCCGCGTCCTTCCTATCGGCCGTCCGTTGCTGACGTCCTATTTGTGCACCGGTGATCACGATTGAGCCCAGGTGCGCCCCGCCGCGCTACGTCATTCCGATGTGATTAGTCTTGGAATTCGTGCAAAGAGCTACCACACGCTCGGTTCATGGGAGCGATGTGCGCATGGACCAACATGGATAGCTCTGGAAGTAGAAAACAGAAAACTCACGCCATCGTAGTATTCAAGCGAAGGCCCCTGAAGCACGAAATACCGCGTTTTCCAGCCACCAAAGTTCTTGCCTCTTTTCGTCAGGTAGCCCTCCTTGTACCCAGCACGTGCGACGGGCCTCTGGGCTTCACTCGCGATTCCAGAGGTCAAGAATGCGATGATCTCATTCTTGTTCTTCATGGGAAGCGCTATCACCGACCGCAAGTACTGCTCCAGTGCAGCCTGCGGGAGAAGGACGCTTTAGCCCAGCAGCTCCAAGGATAGATGAGAATCGCGAACTCACTTTGCGCTGATCGACCTTTGCGGGAGCGTGATCTTTCCACAAGCGGCCCTCGGGCAAGCCGACCAGCTTCTTTCCCAGGCTTTTCCCAGCAGCAGCTCGAACACGGGAATCGAGCGTGAGCACATCGCTGTACAACTTCTCGATCCTCCACGGTTGCTTCCCATTGCCAGGGTCTACGGCGATAACGAAGGAAAGCACGTCCTTGCCACGATCGTTCGGCCGTATCGTCGAGTGTGACACCGCAATTGTCGTCCGAGGGAGGTCCGCGGGCAGCAGCGGAAGTGCACGGAACGCAGGCTGCGGGGGTGGTCCTGCGCTGAAGGGGCTTGGGGGAGGTAATTGAGACATTGATGACTGAGCGGCAAGCGCAGACTGTGCGGGAGCGGGATAAGCGTCGGACAATCCGTTGAGACGAAGGTGCGTGCGACTTCCATCAGGAAGTTCCGACATCGTCTCTGGTAGGGAGCGCGCTATTGGTGATGTTTGTGCTTGACTCGGCTGTAGAACGAGCATGTCTGCGGAAAGATTGACCGGCGGCGTGCCTGGTGGGAGAGGGAAGTCGTCTGCGGTCGCACGCTTCTTTCTTGCAGGGTTGGAGACCGAGTCTTCTTCGTTTTCATCGTACTCTGACGCGAGACTGTCCACGACAGACACTCGCCCACCCCCATCCACGCTCTCCTCATAATGACTATCAATGTCGTCCGCTTCCAGATCTAGGAACTCGCCGTTGTCCGTTGCCCGGCTGCCTGACCGCGAGTCCGACAGCTCGCTCGTCTCCTCTGCCTCTTTCCCAGACTTGGCAACTTGGTTCTGCTTGATTGGGGATTCAGCTCTCTTCTCGTTCATAGCGACGTGACTTTTGTCGGGAGAAGCAGAACCAGGACGGATATTAGGGGAGCCACGAGACGAGTGGGGGCTAGGACCGGGCGACTCGTTCATCGTAGCGTAGTAACGTTTCGTTTCCCCTGGCAAAGAAACATGAGAACCACGGGGCTGTCGGGAAGGAGGCTGTGGATCGGTGGTACCGTCATGTTGGGAACTAGACGCAGATTGCACGATGACTTGTGGCCGCTCATCTCGAGGACCGGCCGGCGATCGTGGTGAGGTGGGTTTGCTAGGATTACTAGGATGTGCCGAAGAGGCATCGCCATCGTAAGAGTAAGAGTCGTCGTTCGCTGGAGCGGCTGTCATGGGTGTATGAGCAGGACGGGATGACGCAGGGTATGCAGAAGGAGGAATGTTCCAGCCACCCCCCGCAGTGGTGGTCGCAGTCTTTAAGTTATCGCTGTGGTAGCCTGACGATCTCGCCACAGACGAAGGCTCGCTGTCATAAAGTGGGCTGGGACGTGCGTTTAGTGGCAGGGGCTGAGGCCGCCGGGGATCCGAGCCAGTTGACATGGACAGCTGTGCAGAGGGCAACGCGACAGATGGTGTTTCCGAAGGCGACGTCGCGACGTTGGTCGAGGATGATGCCTGAGATGCTGACAGGTAATTGGCTGGCATCTGCGAAGGGACTGTCGACATGTTCAGACTGTTCTGCGAGTTCTGGCGCTCGCGCGTGAGCGGACGAGCATGAGGATCGGCACCATTGACTGTGTTCGATTGTCGCTGAGGAGCTGGGCGCGGAAGGTTAGGTCTTGAGGAAATAGAGAGCAGTGCTATACCAGCATAGCGCCGATCCGCATGACAATAGAGAACGCACCTATATCGCCGGAATGGGCTCTATGCATCTGAGCTCTCGGGTCTGAATGTCCACCAGCACTTCCACTACCGCTCTCGCTGTTGCGCATGTGGGTATGAGAAGCGGCGGACCGCAGACTGCCCTCCCTGCCTTCGCGCCTTTCTTTCTCCCTGTGCGCCCTCAGCATCGCGTCGGTGTTCTCCCCCAGGTGCTGCAGCCGGCTTCGATAGAGATCCCGCTCGCCACGCACGCGCTCTAGCTCCTTCAATATTTGGTTGTATCCGGTGCGTTGCTTCTCGATGAGTTTCCAAAGCTGAGCGTTCTGGCCGGTCAGGAGATTACGATCTGAGACAGCAGAGTCGAGTGCTGCCATGGCAGGATTCGCAGAGGAGGAGTGAGCCGCCAAGAGGGTCTGCACAGTTGTTGGGGTCATAGAAGGACCATTGGGTGCCGAGCTTGAGCTGGATGAATGGTGGGCCACGCGAGGGGCATTGGGTGAGCCGGTGGCATGGTCGGGGCGCGACGTCGGGTTTCGCTCGCGCATCGGGGTGCCTTGCATGCTGGCGGACTTCATGCTGGATGTAGACTGAAAGGATGCGGACATTGTTGGGGCGTGCACGAATAAAAGGTGGTGGCCAATGAAGGTAGTTGAGCGCAAGGAGATCCAGGTATGGGTTCGTGCGGGTCGTGAGAGGAGGTGTGTCTTGACGGTGAAGTGGGCGTCGTCAGGAGCGGATGTTAGAGACTGACGGCGACGACGAGCTCGGACATGCGGAGGAGAGGAGAAGGATTGAACAGGACTCACGAGCTGCTCGAGCTCTGCTGTATCAAACGCGACGGGAATTCGCGAGCCACGTGGAAAATATGAAACCACCGCCTACTGCGTGCGCTCCGAGTACAGTACCCTCGTTGCAACACGACCGACCCCGTACTCAGCCCGAGCCGCTCTGATCTCGTTGCCACACGAACATCAGCAAATCAGCCCTCTCGGCTAGCAGAACAGCCTGTACTCATTTCGACATAGCATCCCTAATTGCTCACATTGACGAGCATCACACCGCTCAGGGCAGCTTGGACAGTGTATCTGTATCATCCACCTTGTATCTGCCGTTGAACCCAGCCATCAAAATGCCCTGCTTTCATCGGTCCTCTGTGGGCGCGAACCATCAAATACCGCTGACGGCCCTTACGAGGCCTGGGCCGACACTTGTCGCGATCCCAACCACAGCTACGATCGCAAGTCAAGCGAAAGACCACTAGCGCGCGACATCTCGGATCCACTCATGCAGATCCGTGCTATTCTGTGTGCTGTTGCCCTGCGACGTCGACCGAGTCCCCCGACGTCTGCAAATTAACCTCGTTGATGCAGCGACTACACTGACAAAGGAAGAACCACCCGTCTTGGAGGTATCTCCTACGCTCCTCGAGGCTCATGCCATCAACATGTCCATAGCTAATGCAGAGCTCGTCGCCTGTACGGGCCTTTTCCGTTGTCACGAAGCGTAGGCGGCGACCCATGCGTTCCTTCAGAACATTCGGCGAGCAATCTATGATATCTCGGTCAGCACAGTGTACGTTGGGAAGCGTGATGCCGCTCATGGCGAAGGCAGCACTTACGGTGATTAAAGATCGAAGGAATGGGGTAGGTTCCGAATCCGAGTCCCTCGCTCTCCGCTGCGACTGGCACTTGCCATATGCCGAACGAGTTACTGAGGTCTGCTCCCAGGGCAGTCCTGACGTTCTGGGGTGTGATCACGTCAGAAAGGTCCACTATGGCTGCTTGGTCAGTCGGGCTGCTGTGCGTGTTTAATGACGACCGTGGGCCCTTGTACGAAAAGCGCGACTTCAAGACCTGGTAGACCCGTATCCAGTTCTCCAAGAGCCCGGGAAACATGCTCGTTTGCGGCAGTTCCCCAGACTGAAGGGCGGCGAAGTCTCGCCAGGTGGCCCCACCGAAGTTCAACGTGCCAGAAGAGTGAGAGATATCGGCGGGCTCAGAGGTAGTGTCCTTGTCCGACCGTGTAGCGTTCGATTTTAACTCCCGATACAAATGGACGAGAGCTACAAGAACATATCGCGCAAGATCTGCCTCGAAGTCGTCGAGCTTGATCATCTTCCATCTAGCCAGGGTCTTTGCCTGTTTCTCTTGCGACGCAACTTCTTCCCAGGCCCGAGCGAGGGCATCCTCAGTGATCTTTTCGGGCGTGGTAAAGTTTTCCTGTTTGGCCTTGCCCTTTCCACTGCGTATTCGTGCGGTCTCGAGGGTTCTGAGCAGGGCCACCGTCTCTATTCCCTCCCGCTCTAGCCATATGTCGCGACACCGCCCATCACAAAACCACAGCCCCGCCTCCACAAAGTCACGGCAGGTCAAGAAGTCGGTCCGCCCGAGCTCGTATCGCCAGCACTCCGCGCAGACTTCCTTCCTGAAATTCTTGTAGAGCATATCGGCGTACGGCGTCGAAACATCCAGGACACAGGTACCCTTGGGGATATCGCAGGCAGCACGGTATGATCTACCCGTGAGAGGGGAGACGGTGACGGTGAGCGTGGACGGAAGGCCGCTAGCTGGCGACATGGCGGTTGTGATTCAGGACGCACTGCCCGTGCGGCGCACCGCACGCAACGGTCTCGGTCTGTCCGCTCCGCCAATCAGAGCGCGGCATTCCGAAATCTCAACACCTCCACCTCCACGTGCCTCGGAACTACGCTCCAATTGCCATTTCAGGCCGCTACTTTAGTTTCATGTTTCGCCGCCGCCGCCCCGAACACCCTCCCTACGCCCCTCCACTCGTCCCCAGTCCACACAGCTTGTCTTCAGCTTCCTCGTCGTCTCGATTCTCGCTCACACATGCTCACCGTCGCCCGCGCGCCGTCTAGGGTCTGCGTTTCACTGGCCCTTCGCGCCCCTGCTTCAGCGGGGAGGCATTCGAAAGCGAAGAATGTCGCTACCAGGCTCGCGCAGGCGCAACAGAGCGTGGCCGGCCTCACGATGAATTCATCTTGGCGCAGCCTGTCGAACGTAGCTCTCAAGCGAAAGGAGGACCCCGACGTCGGAGATGTCATCCCCGCCGACCAGGCCGAGTCACTTGGGGCCAAGCAGCAGACTGAACACGCAGTAATCTCTGCATTCGATCTATTCAGCATAGGAGGTGTGTAGCGTGCTATCGCCACCCGAGCCTTTCCTCACTACAAACAGTCGGTCCAAGTTCGTCCCACACCGTCGGACCCATGCGCGCAGGCAAAATATTTATAACCGACCTGCTAGACCTCGGTCTGTTGGAAAAGGTGTGTAGCCATTGAGCTGCCCGTGACGCGCGTCTCCATGGAATCGTGCAGGTCAGAACCGTCAAAATTACACTGTACGTTCCTCCAAAGCGTGGTTGTGGCAAATAAGAGCGTCTAACAGCAGGGTGAAGCTATGGCTCTCTGGCTGCGACAGGTGAGTGTTATCTAATTAGCCAGAGATACGACTGACCACCTTCCAGGCAAAGGGTACGAAACACGCAAAGCTTCAATCGCTACAGCTTAACCCACAGCTTTATAGCCACCATACGCCACAAGCTATTCTTCTCGGACTGGAAGGTGGGATCCTAGCACTTTTCGTTCTCCAGCTAGTATCTGACCATCGCCTAGGCTCGGATCCGGAGACAATTGACACTGGTACCATCCCTTCTCGATACCAGGCAATTTTGGAGAACAAGAGTCTCATGCTCAGCGGGACACATCACATTCATTACGACATGGATAGAGACATGCTGTGGCACTGGGATCAAGTTCTGAAAACTCATCCCAATGGCATGCGTTTTTCTGCGTTCAACGAGAACGGAGATCTTCTCGCCACGAACGAGTACTTCAGGTAAGCCTCCCAAACGTGCTCTACATCCTACGTGTCGCTGATGGTATTCCCATCAATTTCAAGTGTCGGAGGCGGTTTCGTAGTCAACGAAAAGACGCAGGTTGACGAAAATCTGTACTACAAGGGTGTTGACAAGAGCAGTGTCCACGGTGCCCGTCTGCTCCAGACTCACAGCCTTACCGAACCTGACGTAACTCGGGATGAGTACGATCCTACTTCTCCGCCATACCCCTTTGTCGTAAGCCCTCACCCACCTCGAAGGCAGTTTTGAGTCTGATGTTGGTGCAGTCTGGCGATAGTCTTCTTGCGCTGACGCGTAAATACAACGTACGTTCTCTGAATACTCTGGGTTCAACCCCATCCGACCACTTCGTCGTGGATAGATGACTATTGCACAAATTGTATATGACAACGAGCTTCACTTCGGATACTCGCACGAGGAGATCAACCAGAAGGTCAGTGAGGCAAGGAGCTGATTTCTATTCGCATCAGACTGATGATCTCCTAGTTGGTGAGGATATGGAAAGTTATGGATGACTGCATCCGTACTGGCGTGTCTTCATCTGAAGAGAAACTACCCGGTCGGCTGGGGCTTCGTCGTCGTGCACCTATGCTTTATCGGCGGCTGATGCGCGGGTAAGCTACCATTTCTTCTGGCGTACCTGCGAATCTGAGTCCATTGCAAATATAGATTCTACCCTGGGGTTGCAGGCCCGCTGCTCCCTCAGATTGGCGCAGGTGATCATACAGCCAGTGGTAACATCGACGCGCCCGCAGGCGAGGAGCACTTCGCCCCAGGTTTCGAGGAGACCGTAGAGAAGCCATCTAAAGGAAAGATCGCCAAAGCATCGCGTGCGACGAAGGTTGTTGGTTCACTGGAGCATCCAATCTTGCCTATGCCACCAGTTGGTTTTCTTCCACATGACTGTGGGATGGTCGCTGACAATGAAGTAGAGCAAGACGACGATCCCTGCAATGGACTTCCTGTCATGCTACGCGATTGCCGTGAACGAGGTCAATGCCAGTGGAGGACGGATCGTAACTTCACCGACGGTTTGCTTTCTTCACACGTCAGTTCTGCGTTTGCCTGACCTTCTATGACAGAACGGGGCGGCGGGAATCATCCCGGCTGTGCTCAAGTACATCGTCGAAGTGAGCAGCTTTATCGTTCCTGTGATCGCCAATTCTGACGCTGCTATAGTTTGTCAGCGACGACCCTCAAAAGGCTATTGAAACGTTCTTGCTCACCGCCGCGGCAGTTGGGATGCTCTTTAAGCGAGGTAGCACAATATCTGCCGCTGAAGGTGGATGCCAGGCAGAGGTCGGAGGTACGTACCGATTACCACCACCGCATACGTAGCTTACTCTTGGCTGTCTGACAGTCGCTTGCTCTATGGCTGCCGCAGGGTTCGCAGCATGCATGGGCGGTAAGTGTTATGCGGATGTGCTCATCTTGATATTCGAAACTAACCGGATATCGTCGGCTCACAGCGGATCCTGAGACGGTCCTGCAGGCGGCAGAGATAGGCATTGGTTAGTGTCGGCCTTGGGTCTTCGCCACGGATCCGTTGACGTATGTCTGTCAGAACATAATCTTGGCTTGACATGTGATCCCATCGACGGCCTGGTGCAAGTGCCTTGTATAGAACGGAACAGTCTTGGCGGTCAGCTTCTTCGCATCCTACCACCACCTAATGTCCTGAACTCTCCGTAGCCGTAAAGGCCGTGACGGCCGCGCAGCTCTCCATGGCCAGCCAAAACGTGTACAGCGTGACACTTGACGAGGCTATCGAGGCGATGAGACTGACCGCCGTCGACATGAGTGTGAAATACAAGGAGACTAGCCTTTCGGTATGTGCTTCTCTTCGGACTTCTTGACTCCTACGCGCGCTGACTATTATCTATTTTAGGGACTTGCTGTAACTATTTCCTAACGGCATTCCGAGACTTTACTAACGAGAACCTCTACAGCGAACGGTCAAGATCCCACTCACTGTGCCTGCCTGCTAAGAATGTGTGGGATTGATTATCTTGGACTGAGACTCTGGATTCTACATACTAAGTTTAGATGCGGACTCTGACATTGCTTGATTAGACTAGAGTACCTTCATACTGCACTTAGTGTCCACAAAGGCGTAGCACACGACAATGCGTGGAATGACTCAAGACTGAATCTCGGTGAGGGAACTTTCAAGCTTTAGTCGAGCATGACAAGGTAACAAGTAGTCTAAGGCGCGCTATCAACCCGGGTGGATGCTTGCCAGCGAAGGCTGGTTTTCTCACTCTTGTCGTAGTTTTTTTTTTTCTATTACTCAGTATGGCTTGGAAGTTCGCGCTTTCCCCGCTTGATATTTACTACTTAAAAGTTCGAAGCGTGAAGACCGGGGTTTGGGGAGCTGAAATATCTTAGATTGGAAGCCAAAGAGGCCACGGAGTAGAAGCGAAACACACGCACATCTCCTCACTAAGCCGCATTATTCTTCTCACTGTTAGTCACTGTAGTCAGGTATTTATCGGTTGCGATACGCGGAAGCGTTGAGCGCGTCGAGAAATTATATTCGACCGCTATCACTCGCGCACAACGTACACATCGCAGTCGAGCGATCGCAGCGCATTACTACAAGTTCTAGATACAACCGCATGCTGTTGCAAAGTACCCAATCACGCTCCCTCTACTTGAATAGTGAGCTCCTCTAATCCAGGAATCCTACTCCGTAGCAGACTGTCCACACGCTCGACTACACGTTCGACATGCTGATACCGGCCCTGCACCGTCGAATGCGGCCCGCTGGGGTCGTGGGCTACCGCAGATGGCGCAACGCTGATATGTATCGAACCGATGATACTGCTGTCGTCCTTTGGCCAGAAGCGCGGCGATGAGAACGACGTGAGGCCATCGACCTGGTGCAGCTATGCAGAGATAGAGTTAGTTAGATGTGGACCATCCGACGACGAGTCGGAAAGGTTACCTCGGTTAAGGCGGGCTCGATGTTTGAGATGCGGTAGTCCAGGTCCAGCATTAAAACTTTCCCAGTGTCAATCACGAGGGGTATAACACTTGCAGCAATGAGTATCGCAATGAAGAGTGAAGCTATGGGGTCGAAGCCTGTCCAACCATAAAATTGAATGAGCAGGGTCGAAATGATCACGCCGACAGAACCTAAAGTATCCTAATCCAGGAAGTTAGACGAGTTTGGCGGGGATCTGAAAGGTAGCGTACCGCCATGACGTGCAAAAACACGCCGCGCATGTTATGACTGTGTCCTGCGTGCCCGCCATGTTCATGGACATGTGTATGATCGTGTAAGTTGGGCGCGTGAGAGCTTGCGTGGTGGTTCTCGAAGTGCTCGTCCCGCTCAAAGTTGTAATTTGGCGTGATAGGGGACTTGAGGTCTTCCGAGTGCTGAAGGACTGACGTTAAGCGGAATGAAATCGGTTGACGAAGATACAGGGCTTACCAAGTGCGACTGTGGCTTTCCATGATCATGATCATCAGAATTTGAGTTAGTATGCCCCCCGTGCTCATGTCCATGGTCGTGGGTCGAGTGTGTGTGTGAGTGCTCATGGGCAAGGGTAGAATGAGCGTGCGAATGGGAGTGCAATGAATGGTCGTCAGTGTCCACTCGCAACGGCGATAGCGATCCTTGACGTGAATGATTGTGGCCGCGGTGCTCACTGTGACCATGTGAAGGATAGTCATCATCGCTGTGAGAGTGCAACTGACGAAGCTCTGCTGCGGGAGAGGGCTTCGGCGAATGAGACGCATGCGAGTGGCCATGACTATGACCATGGCTATGAGAATGTCCTCCCTGTGCCAAGTTTCAAAATAGATCTTAGGGGATAGCGATAATATGAGCGTACATGATGATGGTGTCCGCCCATGGCGAACATTCCGAAGAGATTAACCGCAAGACCCAATGTACTGACAAGCAATAGCTGGCTGGTGTTCATCTCAGGCGGGTTCATCCTATTCGACAATCAGCGATATCACGACAGGCTGCACAACAAAGACTCACAGTCTCTCGATGGCCTCAAAAACGATGAAGATTGAGATAAGAATCAAGAATACACCATTGGAGAAGCCAGAGAGGGTCTCTATACGGCCATAACTGCAGGAATGGTTCGTGGGCTCGAGAAGATGAACTCTGATCCATGACATACCCATATGTGAATCGTTCGTTAGGAGCCCAACGTGCCATCACAGAAGCTATGAGGCCAACTCCAATGGCCATGCAGTCGAAGGCCATATGTATAGCTTAAAAGCATCATCAGCATAAATAACATTGTAATATATACATTGCTCACCGTCGGAAATCAATCCGAGGCTGTTGGTCCAGATACCGTAAAGCATTTGCACTCCCATATAGCACATGTTGAGCACAAGAAAGTAGAATATCTTCCTCGACTCCGGATTCTCGAGGATGGATTTGAGATATCCACGAGCAAGATGAGCTATGGAGCTGTAGGGAGACTTGGCAATCGTCTGTCTTGCCTTGCCTTTGCTGATGCCTAGCAAGATGTCAGCGTCGAACGAGGTGGCAAGCGGAGGAATCTCACCGACCGTAGTAGAGGCATCCGGCAACAATAATATCAGTTATGCTTAGAGTAGGCAGCCGAGGAACTACGCTGAACAGCCCAGCAGACACGAGGACGACGATGAAGGCAAAACTGATTTCATGTGCAGAAGGAGCGTATGATAATCGCCTGGTCATTGCCGGAGAAGAGAACAGCAGGGCAACAGACAGCATGATCACTGCTGTTAGCTGTATTGTGAATCCGTGAGTGGCCTCCTCGATGTGCATCGGGCTGAGCTGATACAGGTATGAGCTAAGAGGGGCCATGTAGATACGCCAGACTTACGAAGAAGCGAGAACATATATAGATGGTGATGCTGACTAACATACCCCCAATGGTCGGCAGTGCTGTGGCCATGGCAGGTCCTAGGGTGGGCAGCAGGACTCCTTGTGTATGCTCTAACACACTGGTGGTCAACGCTTCGAGGCCAATGGCAAAGTAGCCTGGTAACGTCGTTCGAAAATTTTCAGGCGAAAATTTGGCATCAGAGAGGTAAGAGATGCCAATAGCGAGCAGGAGGTAGAGTGTGGAATGACGCTGCAGGAATAGAGCGGAAGTTAGTGATACGCTTCTTAGGCAACTGCACCAACGTACGGACGTGTTGTTGAGGACACAGCCCATCCATACCGGTGAATATTGAGATAGAATAACCATCCTGAATGCTGATTAGTTAGATTGTCGTCCGACAGCACAAGAACATGCCTGATAACTGGGAGTCGAACAAGAGCAAAGAGCGACGCGCCGAGCCGTAACGAGAGTAATAATGAAGCGAGCCCAACCACAGGCCACTGCGCAAGTCTTCAATGTCCGTGCACGGTAGAAAGAGATTGTGCTGCATGACGCACCTCGATCGGCTTGTTAGTCTGCCCTCGCATGTGCGAGAACGCCCACGCGAATGCTGCCAAAGCCCCGACACTAAGAATCTTGACTACCGTCGATGGCACGGCACCCTCCAAGATAGTCGCCTTCCCGAGGTATGCAGCGAGCAGGAAGAGTATGTTCGAGGCCGCGAGCCTCATGAACTCCGACCTGCTGCAACAGATTTAGCTAATGAGCTGCGTGCAGAAGCACGACGTACCTCCTCGCCCCCGCCTCAAGATGAACCTTGCTCCGTGTTCGTGGGTCTACAGCATTCATGCCAGTGCTCGTCTCGCAGCGAGAAACCGCGGAAGGTCGAGATGGATGACTGTTCTGGGTAGAGAGATTCGGCGAGACATGATTGCGCTTTGCCGAACGAGCTGCCGAGCTCGGGCACAAACGGACTCAAACTGGTCCAAACACAACGGCTCCTTGTTTGGTCGCCACGAGAACAGACTGCATGCATATCTGGCTACAAGAAATAAAGACTATCGAAAGAACATGTCCGAGTATTGCAGTTCATCCAAGTTACGATCTACTCCAAGAAACACCCAACTCCATTCAGCCACTCATTGACCCTGGTTGATACTGCGCATAGAAGCTTTGCCACGATGCCTGCGGGTCCGCCTGTGCTTGCGTGTCGACGGGCGAGTGGTATGCACCCGCGACAGGTGACATCTGCTCGTATGGCGAGTACTGCACCCCAGATGCAACGGTCATGTGCGGTGAATGCAGCTGACCGTACTGCGTGTCAGAGGGCCAGTGTCCGGACGCAGTACCAGAGGTGGTGGAGAAGTAGTTTGGGTACGTCTCCTCCACGGGCTGCTGCTGGTAATGCCAATGCGCCATGCCGTTCATGCCGTGGCGATCGTGCGCCGAAGGCACGTGCTCGGCAGGATATGGCTGCACAGGCGAGCTGTGTGGGCTTGGCGTATGGTGCAGGTGCAGCGAATCTTGCGGAGAATTTGGGGTAGACGGCGACCTACGCGGCACTAGTCGTGTCTTTCCCCCAAGTGCAGCCAACTCTTCGTCTTCTTCCTTGACAATAGAGTCTGGAGGTGTCATACGAGATGGACCTGGTCCATTTACCGCATGAGCACTCATCGCTAACATCGCTCTTCCCTTCAATCTCTGCAATACGGGCTGCGGGGGTGCTTCAACACCCGTGAGGCACGTCAGAGAATTGGCACTTACCAGCACCTTTGCCGCGCGGTCGTTCTCCTTGACGACTTCAAACAGGTTATACGCCGAATCCAAATTCATCAAAGCAGACCTTGCAAATGGCATTGTCGGGCATTTCGCCGCGATTGACCCCAGAACGATCTGCACGATCGCTCAGCATCAAAGCAAGGCGATGATAAGATCTGAGTTCTCACCGCACAAGAAAAGACGTGGGTGAATAAGAACCACAGACGTTCCGTAAGCCTGGAGTGTTGTGAGTGCAGGCTCTTGACGAGGCCGACAAAGGTGCAAGCGCTGGTGTATGCAGCCAGCACAGAGGGAGCAAACTTGCTGCCGAGCGGATCTTCAGGGTTGTCTTCAATTGCTCGAGCAAAGAAACCGCGGTGTAGATAAAATATGGCTGCCACGCATATTAGCGAGATTATGACCATGCCGAAGAATACAACTCACTCATCTCTTTGATCGCAAAAGCAATGTGTCGCTGCATCGTCAGCTCAATGCTCGGCTGTTCAATTTCCAGCATCTTCGCGCCGCCGAAGCCTGGTACCCGTAAGGTAGGCGGAACAGGGTAGTTGCGGACCTTCTTGTCCAGCTCCTGAATGGTCCTGTAGCTCGGCGTTTTTGCCCCAAAGGCTTGTTCATGAACGACGTTCAGACAGCGAGACGACCATCGGTGCTTCCACGCCTTGACTAAGCAAGCGATTGAGGGCTTGGAATGCTAGAGGCGGATGTCATGAAGGACGTACATGACATCTCCACATCCTCGCCCTTGTCCGGCACTTGCTGGGGATCAGGTTCAGCCATCTGACAGTCAATATACGCATTGGAGAAGGACGGAGGTCTGCCGAAGGTTAGACTCTGCCAGCGCAAGCGGTACGTCAGCTGTCGGGTAGCCAACACAGAAGCAAAAGGGCGCACCTGCCAGGAATCGTAGGTATACACTTCCCAGAGCAGCGACCTCCTGTGATAAGCCTCCTCGGGATTTAAATTCCATTTCCCACCGTCCCTGTCTGAAAAATATGCCCAGCGTCTCAGCACCACGTCAAGAAGCAAACCAGAACATTGCGCTTACGGAGGCCGAGCTGTAGCCAATCCCAAGTCAGCTATGGGGTGCGGGAAGAACCAAAAGGGTGAGACTGACACTCTGGGTAAGCTTGACCACAAGACCCATCAGAGCCCAGCGAGGGCCATCTCGGAAGGACATGAACATGAAATGGCACATAAGGACCTGCGGCACGTGCAATCAGCAATCCTCCGTGGACCTCGGAGGGGGTTGTGGGGACCGTGAATACGCACCAGCGCCTGGATCGCGGGGATTGTCTGGTGCTCGAGCACTGAGTCAAGCGAGAGCGATGCTCGGGCGAGCTGGTAATACTGCGTTGCCTCAACCGACATGTAGGACTGCTCGAGGTCGAAAAGCGTTCCCAGCGCAAGAACCATGTACAGTACGGCCAAACGGTGAGAATCAACTGGATCTTGATCTATGGTTATGGGCTGATCGTAGATACGCGAGAAAACTGCATTATAAAACTCTGCATCGGGGATTGGCGTGTACCTGCGTCTCAGATTCATTCACACGAAACTCTCGTGGAAAACTAAAACATACGTACATCCATGCACAGTGCCTATAGTAGACAGTCGCTAGCCGGCGCGCTTTCTCAACTTCTGGAAGGGAAGAATAGAGAGACTGTCGGATGTTGAGCTTGGTCTCATTAGCGGTCGCAAAAGGAAAGGCATGGCCCAGCCAAGGGATGTCAGCCGGTAAGTGTATCTCGGTATTTTCGGCCTCGTCGTCCCCCCCTTCCTCATTCTATTGTGATATCAGCACATTCATATGGTTTCTCAGCACAGAAGAAGCGTACCTGCAGAAGGTACTGCGAGATCGGCATATCAGTAAAGCGTCATAGCACAGCGACCCGTGAACTACCGAACTTACCCAGGCATTCGCTGTTGTGCCGTAGAACTTCGTACGGCCTGATTCTGATATGTACCTGAATGGGTGCGTCAGCATATTTTTACGCCACAGGCGATATATTTATACCACGTACAGTGACCCGATGGCATCTATCGCTTCTGCCGTCTCAACCTCGGTTTCCTTCGCCACTTCTGGAGCTTCCCTCTCGAGGGGCCGCTTGAGCTGTAGCAGTTCCTGACTCAATAGTGGATGCGGCTCAGCAGAAGGTGGTGCAGCGTGTGCTTCGGCAAGAGCATCTTCAAGTTCCCTGACGCGGGTAGAAAGTACTAAAATCTTCTCATGGAGCACCTCGGTATTGGCAAGGACGAATCTGAAATGTACGAGCAGCATGAACGAGACCACACTATACTTTTGGACGGCCGCATACCTGTTTCCCTTCCCCGTTGTGAGAGAGCCTGCGAGGCCATCGTCATTGCGCTTTAACTCTACGTCCACAGCCGGTAGGACGCACCATCGGGGCAGATAGCTGCACACCCCTTCTTCACACAACTTGCACAGGGGAATACACGCGAACACCTTGGGTGGCAAGCTGAGGCGGGTTATGTAAAAGGGTACGACAAGCACGGACCTTAGCTTAAGTCTTGGGAGCGGGTCAATTGAGATGCGCCGGCGGCCAATGAACGGTGACAACTCACCGACGACACTCTGCACACGAGAGAGGGCCGCTCCGTCGCTTTCCGTTTGCGCTAGAAGAGGCCATCGTGCAGCGAAGGTCAAGGTGCCGACGGCGCGCACAGTCAGAGAGGCGCTATCAGCTGACGCCCCTAACGACCATGTCCTCCAATTGTAAGTACCACATCGATTCCATACTGCTTTCGGGCAGTGCATCATCCTAGCTTTCCAGTCACATACCCTTTCTTTTCCTGAAACGACTGTATTTCACAGCACGACACCGCAATTGCGCAAAAGCTTTGTAATTCCGTAACAAACTTTAGTGTACAAATCGAATGTTTCAACCCTCAGAAGATGTCAAGTGCTGTACATGAAGAAACGAACTAGGTCATTAACGACAAATCATAGGCTATGGCTATCTAGGGCATTCTGCATCGTGAGATACTCATTCCAGGCTGGAACTCTCGAGTCTGTAGTCCAGATCGACAGAGCTGAGCACCTTATCGTGGTGCTCTGGGAAATCAGTGGGCGGGTATGAAGGGCTTCGTGAGTCGTTATGTACCATGATGCTAGAGGGGGGCACCTCCGAGCTTGGGCTGATGGGCTCTGTGCTAGAGTCGACCGAAGAGGAGTCAGAGCCGTTGCAGATAGGCTCTTGCTGTTGAGAATGAGGCTGGGGCACGGAAGATGTCGAAGAGATGCTGGAGCGAGAGGTGAAGAATCCGGTCACCCTGCGACCGATTGGGGCGCTGCCAACTGCGGACGGAGCTTCCGAGGACGATGCAGCAGGCGATGACGACGGAGGGCCGGTGGTAGCCGCAGCTGAGGCATTCCACAGTTTGAAGCCCCAACGCGATGCGCCTGCCGGGTTCGCCGCAACATTTGCCGCAGTAGACACTGAAGGGGCGGATTGCGCGGTTTGAGCAGAAGGTCGAGCATCCGGGGGCTGCATCCCTATGCTGTTTTCCTCGATGAACGTGCGCAGAGCTCTGACGCAGGTTTCTGAAGCCTCCTGTGCTTCCCGTGCTTCCGCAAGCTCTGCCCTCGTTTCCTCCAGCTGCTCCTTCACCACCTGCAGCCCCTTTCGCAACTCCACTATTTCGGAAGCGTCCTGAGTCGGAGGAAGATCATGTATGGGACTTGTCCCGCCAAAGAAGCCTGAGATTCTCCTGGAGCTGCGAGGCGTAGTGGAGTTCGGCCCGTCAACGAGCTGTAGAGGTTCGAGTCGTGCGCTGCTCGGGGGACTAGGGATGTCTCTCCGGTAGGAGCCAGGCTCGGACACAGAGACGATGCGCCGGTGTGCTGCTGCCTTGTCGGCTGACGAACCAGAGCCGGTCAAGGGGACAAAGGAGGTCCGACGAGAGGAAGGGGGGCCAGTGATCAAGCTGGAGGGACCAGCACGCGACAGGTCGAGTGTCATCCGTCTGCTCTCCGTTTGTAGTCGCATGAGAGCTCGTCTGTCGTCCAACAGCGGTCAGCGCATATGGACAGGGGATTACTAGCTCGCCAACGAACCTGCTATCCTCTAGCTTGCCGCGAAGCATGACGACCGCATCCTGGTCGTCTTGGTTTTTCGCAACAGCAGTATTGAGCTCGTCCTCGAGACTGATGCACTTGGCCGAGACGCTGTCAAACGCGTCTTTCAGACCGAGCTCACGGTTCTGCGACTCGCTCAGTTTCGCCTTCAGCTCGTCGCGCTCGGCTTCTGTCCGGTCGAGGGTAAGACGGAGGGTCGTTACAAGTGATGCCAACACTGATGGGTCCAAGCTGTTCGGGTTGACCGCAAAGCGCGGATCGGAGGGCGATGTTGGGAGAGACTCCATGTCCAGCTGACGCTCGAGTTCGAGGCTTAAGTCGATAGAATTTCGGGAGTTGCGCTTGGGGCTATAGTCATGAGCGTACTGTATGTTGTCCTCGTGGTTCTGCAGAGACATTGTGCGGCGAAGGAGCGTTGAATAGGGCTGGCTGGAAACACGGTGCCGATGAAACGGTCTAGACAGATACTGCCACTGCGGCGGCGAGGGCAGTGAGTGTGGAGTACCTGTGCAGGGGCAGAAATAGGGACTGCGCGGGCGACAGCTGGGACGAGGGTAGCTGGTTGCCGCAAAGACGGTTCAAATTTCGGTCTCTGCACCTCGTTGTCGGGCCAGCGAGCGCTTTCTCGCATCACGTGCGAGTCTGCCCCCAGCTGACGATAAACTTTTCTCAACCACACCACGCATAGCAACCAACATCCGCAACATCCACAACATCCCCCGAGGAGGGTGTTATTCATGCTAAAACACTATGGGGTCTACGGTACTTCGGTCTCATAAATCATACATAGATGCCGCATGTGTTTGCCGGCACTCTCTTCCTAGCATAGTGTTACATTTCCTTGGATATGGTGAAACAAAATAAAACAAAACGCCATGTGCGGGTCCCTCTATGATGCGTGTGTCAAAGGATCGACACAGACCACACCGTCACGCTCACTCCATGGGTAACCCCACAAGTGTAGCCATTCCCGCACCCCAGCAGCTAGGCGTGCCCGAGATGCGCCGCGAGCAGGATCTTGCGTACCAGTATGCTTTTCCTCGCCGACGACGAGGTACGCTAATTCAGTCGTCAGCCTCCCGTCTTGATGGAAATGATAGACATGTTTCCTTACCTAAGCCGTAGAAATGTTCTCGCTCCAGCTGTTACAACTGATGAGCAACGAACGTCGAGCTCAGGCCATTAACCAACACTCACAGCCAAGAGGAACTCTTCCACTACTTCGGTAGCCTCGGTGGAATGCAGGCCATGTAAATCGAGCATGACCTCGGTACGCTCTTCAGGGGTGAGTTTCTTACCATCGCCCACGGTCTGGCTCGCGATACCCAAGGTCACACCCAGGCCCGCACCGCAGATCCTGCCCTTAGCTGAGCGATCGCCATAGTCATCAGACCACATTGAGTCGCGAGTTTTCACGACCTGCTCTGCGAGTCTCGCGCGTTCGCGCACCAGTCGCCCGGCCGCCTGCGCCATCTCCGCGCTCATCTTCGCGTTTAAGTCATGTCCCTCACGGCTAAAGCGCTTGGCGGCGGCGCCGTCGCCTTTCTTCCACGCATCGGCTGCTCGTACGAGGCAAGCGTTCCGGGCAGCTCCCAGCTGGTGAGCCCGAGACCGGTAGGCCATGTACAGCTGGCTGACCGTGTCGCCGGTTGTCAGCGTTGGAAGTAGAGTGGGCGACCGGAGCTTGATCCGGGGCGATGGCTTGGGAGCAACCACAGACACCTTGTTCTGCGCAGACTCCGTGTTGGTCATCGGGCGAACAGACACAGATTCCTTCGTTCCCTGCGCCGTAGACGAAGAGGTAGTCACGCTCGGAGCAGGCGGAAGTGGTTTTTTGACGGCAGCGGCGAAGCGAGAATGCGCCGGATCCTGGCTTCCGTTTTCGGGTCCGTGACCTCCACGCTTATTCTTGGGTGGCAAATTGGCGATGTGGTTCAGCGCCGGGAATTCCTCGACGGGTGGGTTAAGGCTATTTTGTGTGCCGTTATTCGCGTTCAAGTCCGTCCTAGACATCGCCTGAGAGAGCCCTGACACATCGATATCCTTTGGGAGGTGGTGCAGGAACTCGCAGTTCTCGCCTTTGGCACATGTCCCACGCAACCAAAACCGACACAGCGCGCGTTCAAGATCGTGGCTGACAGAACTCATTAACGACTAGCTGAGAACTATGACGGATACACGCTTACCTGAAGCGACAATCTGCGCGTAGGCATTCGCCCGCGAGGAAGTATCTACACACTCGGTTCCCGCCAGGAGAGGGCCGGCCATTGAACCTGTTCCCGCGGAATCCAGGGCCGTTATAGAACCCAGCACGACCACCCCTAAAGTGCCCATAGCCATCGCGAGAAACAACGGTGACCCGGCCACCGGCGGAATGTAGGCGAGGAGGGGGCGGGAGCGCATTGTTTGCGTGGTGTGTTGCAATCTGGCGATCAACCAGCCAGGACATGGCGCGGTCAAAATCATAGCCGTTGTTCGCTAGCGCTTCTTCCAGTTCAGATGGAGCGAGGGTGGATCCAAAGACCATGCTGAGCACATCAAGGGGTGTCATACCATCTGCCATCGTGCCATTTGTCTCCGCATCGAGGTCACTGTCGTCCTGAAGGGACTCAAGCAACTGTGAACCGTACGATTGCAGCTGCGGGTCATCATTGTAGTGGTTGTACCGAGCGTCGTCTGTAGATGCAGATAACGATGAGTTCGACAGCGGAGAGTGGTGCCAAGATGGCTGGACATTCTGATCCACTTCGCTTGAAAGGAACGAGCGTGGCAACGGCCTCTGGCTGAAGGGGTCGAACGGATCCTCTTCATCTTCATCTTCGTCCGGCCTAAGGGAGAGCCGCAAGGAACTAGGCGTGCCAGACCGCGGAAGAAGCGCGCTATCAGGTGTCAGCGGCGCTGCGATAGCTAACTTGGATGTGGGTCGCGAAGGATTATGCGCCCACATGTCCGGAGAAGGCGTCTCTGCTCTAAGCTGGGCAAGAGAGCCAGGGTTCGATGAGGCTGCAGAGAGAGGTCGCGGAATAGGCTTGAATTCATGAGCTTTAGCGTTTAATATACGCGGAGAGGATAATGGGGAAGCAGGAAGACTGGAAGCGAACTGGGCAGGAGGAAAGACAGGAGAAAGGGCAGGAGACTCGCTACGTGCAGTGATATATGAATTAGCTTGCTGGCCGGCGCCGAGAGGCGAAACGAGAGGTGTATGTGGACGACGAAATACGATGGAAAGCGGAGAGCCCGGCGCAGAGTTTGGTGTGTCTGGGCGCGCAACGACGCGAGAGGAATGGGTCGAGGCTCTAGATGAGGGTCGAGAAATGGGCCGTCTAGTTGGCGTGAGGTAGACGAAAGGAATGTTGTCAAGGTCGTCGCGATGACGATGCATGAGGTCCAGGACATGACTAGTAAGCTGAGGGAGAAGATAAGTTGAGATGGCCTGGACCGCCATGACGGCAAAGACTTACCTCCTCATCGTCGATGTTTGGGCCAAATGTCTCCGTTAGTAAGTTCTTGAGGTCCTCCTCACGCTCGGCATCGAGCAATGAAGCGACCTTGTTCACGAGTGCTGTAGATACACGATTTGGGTCATTGTCGCTGTCATCGTCGTAGTTATCGAGAGGCCGGTGTTGGCGAGCGATTGCGGTCAGCTGAGCACGAGTATGAGGGAAGCGAGCTCCCGACAGTTCCTGAGGAGGTTGGAGAGGTTGGGGACCCAAGCGGGCTGTATGGTCATTTGGGACAGATATAGCAGGCGGTGCAATCATGTTGGAGGTTGCTCGGCATAAGCAAGGCGTCGGGAACTGTACAGTGCAAGTCCGGGTGGTGTGGACTCTGAAGGAAGTCGTTCGTTGTCGACTTACGACGTTGAACGGTATTATGTCTACAGGCGCCTATACGGCGCCTGCATTAACCTCCGCATCATCACACACGTGCGGCAGTGCGCGGTCTTGGATGCCATTAATATTGTCGGCCTTGAAGTGTACGCGGCTGCCACATATATTCTGGTAGCACATGTGAATAATATGATTGCTGCTACAGGTATCATCTAGCGGATACAAGTGAACATGGACGTCAAAATCTTTTGCAAAGGACGGCCAGGTCAAAGCCGAATAAATGATGGCCCGTATATGAACTTCGCAGCGCGCTGCTCGCATTACACGAGGACAATACATGCGAACAGATGGGAATGTGAGACCGCAAACAGCATAGCAACAAAGCCAAGCTACCGATCCCACTGCACCAAGACAAGCTCTTCCCGCCAGCAGCTCGTCAGGGACACACCGTTTTCCTCGCAGCAGTCTTTCTCGCATGAGAAAATCATGCAGGTGCCCCACCCCATACCCGTCAGCTCGACGCTGCTCCCGCCTTTAAGCATCTCTTGGACCTCTTTCCGCCGCTCCTCATCCGTCTGTGGCTTCGCCGGCCCCAGCGTGTTCTTGCTTCTAAGAATGTTAATGAGGTTCGGCATTAGCTGGCACTCAAACACCCGCCGTGCCTTGCAACGCGGGCATGGCGGGATGGAAGGAGTGTATGTTCGCTTTGCCGGAGGGACAACCATGGCTTTCGACCTCGTCACCGGCAGATTTTGGACTAGTGGCTTAGGGAAAAGCTTGTCGAAGACGTCGTCGCTTGCGAACGGTAAAGGTGTCCCGCCTAGCTCGTATCTGCAGGACTCCTCAGCAGTCAAGAATCGCAGAGCGCTGAACAGCACACCTAAGACACTGTTCCGCCTCATATCCAACTCGCTTGCTGAACCGCTCGAAAGCGCGGTCGACAACAAGGGAGTTCTCGTAACCCTCCATAGCCCATGAGGCAGCTTGGTTCATCTTGCCATCGTCATCGTCTTCAGGCACTTCCTCGATCTTGGTACTCGTCGTCGGCGCGGGAGATAAGTATTCAGACACCGTGGACAGGTATGATGCGGGATAAGAAGGCGCGGAAGCCCAGGCAGTGGGTTCGAGGGTACTCGACGCCATAGCGCCTACGAGCTCCTTGTCTTCGTCCGCTTCGGAGTCATTGCTCGACAGGTCGTCTTCCTCGTTTTCCTCTGGCGCTTCGTTTGATTCTGCCTCAGCTTGATTCTCTGACTCTGATACGTCAAAGATTTTTGAGCCTATACTAGAGAAATTCGGTGCTGTAGCAACGCCGTTGCCGAACTGTAAAGACGATAAGCGTGACAACATATTCTGTGGGTGACCACCTACAGAAAAAGGATTGCTCTTCGCGACCTGCAGCTTCTCCTCTTCTACAAGCCTGACCTGCCTGGCTTGGCGAGCCTTCTTCTTTGCCAGCTTCGTAGCGTATTTTTCATTATGTCGTAGTCCTCGAAAAGCCCGTACGCTGGGATTATCCGTTAGCTTATAGCATCCACCGTAGTCAAGACACACACCTGCCAGCCAAGCCTTGACACACTCCCCGACTACACCCCCACACATACAGCGCTCTATCGTGCGGACTATCCTCCATCGGGCACCATACCTGCACGATAAGCTCCATAGGGGTCGAGCAGTTCTTACAATACGACGATTCGAAGGGGGGGTCAGGCCACGTCAAGAATGCCTGATGCGCACCAACGAACAAGATATATTCAACGACTGTGGCATACATACGGTGCGAGAGGTTCCTACAGGGAGTCCGCCGATGCGCGAGACTGCTGCGTCGCGCAAGTCCGTCTGAGAGTCGATCGCGCCGTCCGATATGCCCAGCTGCACCGTTGTCGTTGTTTTCAGCAGCTCGTCATCGTCATCGTCATCGTCCGACCACTCATCTTCATCTCGTCGGGCCATTAAAGTCTAGGTAGATGGATAACTAATCAGCATAAGCTCCGTGGCAGGCAGATTGGAGGTCAGAGATGCATGAATGGTAGAGATAGGTGTGTCGTCAAAGAAGGCGGCAAGAGGAAACCTCAGGCCAGCACTTTCAGACTCGTCATCTGAAAGATCATCATTCAGCACAAGAAGGGCATAACACTCACGGGCTGGGGAGGAGTGAGTAGACGTCAAGAAAATTATCACACGCGCGTCTACCGCTTTCATTCAGGTGTTGTTTGTACCCGCCAAATATTGACACTACTTCTCTCAAATAGGTAGCTGCTTCTAATCTATATCTCTTCAACGCTTTCCGAGCACGCGTTATATTAGCATTATTCGACATCTGGCCAAAATAGACTGCTCTGTTCTGTCGTTTCGAGTAATATCAGTAAGCATATGTTAAGTCAAGCCTGTCAGTGAGTCGATGGTGGCACCCGGCGTGAGGACACCGACAGATGCAAGACTGTTATCGCCGGTCTACGTCCTGTAAGACAGGGCATTCGAGATTGGCAACTGATAATATCATGGCGAAGAATCAAAAGACTTGGGCGGTGGCGCAGCCTCTATTCCGCAGCCTATACAGGCACCTTCTCACGACATCAGCTCCGCGCCCCTTGTTCTTCCGCAACCCTGTTCGAGGCCAGCTGGTGACCCGAGGGTGACTGAGCATTTACGTGTGCAGGATGCTGAGGTTCAGGACACCACTTCTGGCGTGCCTTTGGTATGCTACCATGCACGATGTATTGGCCCCTGTGTCGACATAATGGACACCGGCACTTGACCTCTGCGGGAGTATTAGCGATATTCACGGACTTCCTTCCTTAAAAAAGAAGAAAAAACGATAGCTCAGTGCCGTAACATTCATCACCCGTTCCGTTCGATGCTCCTTTCCTCATTATGTAAGAAGGCGGCAGACCAGGGCAATGGGTCAAGTACAGCGGTCAGATACAGCATACTGAAATATACAGCAAAGGCAATATGATATCATTATCCATCCGAGTCGTCGTTCCTAGCAAGCCACATAACTCTGGGCGATGCTCGTTTCGGCGTTCATCTTGTGTCAAGAAATCAACAAGAGATACACAGCAGTCCGGAGCATGGGCCGGAAATCCCGAGGACCTGGGCGGGTAGCGCAACCGCCGGCACTACACCGAACCCTGTGAGACGTTGTTGAAGACAGCGAGCAAACAGCAAGAGCAGAGGTGCTGGAGCTACGGTGTCGACGGGCTGGCACACCGAGGAGAGGGCGAGTCGAGCGGCGGAACGAGCGTCGTTGGACCGTTGGTGGGAGTTGCCGAAGGGACCGTACGTGTCTGCTATTTGTCGCTTGTTTACAGGTATCTCCCATCTGAGATACAAATAATTATGGTGCTTCTGCGCGCCCTTTCCCTCACTTGGCCGGTTCCTTTAGCTCTACCATGTCATCGCCCGAGGCGAACTTGAACGGCGCCGATGGCCAAGGTCAGAAATCACTCGTCAACGGAGAGAAGAAACGCAAGCGGGGTGCGACGCGCCTCTCATGTGCGGAGTGCCGCAGGTGCGTCTGGCACACGCTATGAACGTCAAGGACATTCTCAAATACTTGCCACTCGTGTTCCTCAGGTTAAAACTTCGCTGCGACCGAGCAATTCCATGTGGATCTTGTGTCAAAAGAGGTTGCGCTGCGATATGCCCTGATGGTACGCTTCACACTTCTCTCTGCTTGTCCAGTTACCAGGAGGTCACCGTTCTTTCCCCTAACAGGATCCTTGACTACTGGTAAGGGCAACAGGTAACAAGAGTCCTATCTCCTTGCAATGGCGGCGATGCTGACCCCTCGTTAGAGCGACCAGATTCGTTCTCGCCTCTACGCAGGATTTGCACGAGAAGATTCATGAGCTATCCAACCGCGTGAGAGAGCTGGAAGACGGCCTCAGGGCCTCCCACTCCCAGCACTCGAATGAGACACATCCCTTACTCTCCGAAGATCTGTTACGCATTAAGGCACCCCTACAGCGAGAAAACCTCTCATCAACGACAAACGGCAACTCGGACGAGCCAGGCGGTGACGTTGTCGACTCATTCGGGTCATTGTCCATCAGCGACTCTGGCCGCACAAACTACTTCGGCCAGGCGACTAGCTCCTTCGTACGTTCGTCATGCTGTGCATTATAGTGCGCTAACTCATCTCTCTACAGTATTTTCTGCAGGTATGCATACGTGTATATCCCAGTAAAGCACTCATGCGGAGCTATCGATCGGTAGAATGAAACGCAGGAGCAGGACAAAGAAGATCGACTGGCGGCACTACGAAAGATCCTCCCTGCTGAGGTCCTTTCCTTAGCAGGAGTCTTTCCGGTTGCGCCCAATATCCCATCTACCCCAGAAGTTGATGCTGAGCGCATCGACCGCTTGCGAAGTCTATTCTGGTACTTGCCGCCAGCTGATGAGGCTGCAGACTTGCGACACATCTACTTCCAGCATGCCGGTGCGTCTCCAACATTGTCGATGGCATCAGTCAACCTCTAACACTTACGCTCATTGCAGCGTGGATGTCAGTTCATATCTTATTAACTTTGAAACGCTTCGGACGATACTCACCGTGCGTGCAGGTATAATATTGTGTCACTCGACCAGTTCAACGAGCACGTTTACTATCTATTCTACAACCCGAACGCAGGACCGCCGCTCGATGACCCATTATTGTCGCATCAGCTCGCGCTCATGTTCATGATCATTGCGATCGGTAGCCTGATGGACACCAAGCGACCAGCGTACAACATCGAAGCGGAAAAGTATCATCAGCTTGCCAGAGCTGCTCTCTTCCAAAGTCCGGTGTTTGAAGAGCCGACCATACACGCTGTGCAGACCTTCGTATGTATTCTCTTGACCCATTGTCCCATACGTGAAACTCACTGCTATCATCTCAAGTATCTCATGGCATTCTACCTTTTCCTGTCCGAACGGCATGGAAGTGGGGTGGGTACGCGATGGGCCCTCATGGGGCTTGCCGTAAGGCTGGGTATCAGTGTGCGTGTTCTTGCAGTTTCATAATAAAATACGCTAATCCTACTCACAGATGGGTCTTCGTACGTACACGTGCCTGCGCATATGCGTGTCTGCTGACTGCGCGATCAGATCGGGACGCCGGTCGCTGGAATGTAGATCCCAAGGAGATCCAGCGGCGACGACAGGTGTTCTGGGAACTATATACTTATGAGTTTTTGCAGGTATGTTGAGCGCATGATCTTTTGCTTCTTGGCTAAGGTCGTGCCAGTGTTACACTATGGGTAGGCCTCCGTCGCTTTCCTCAGCTCATATCGATTGCAAGAAACCTCATACCGAGGAGCCGCAAGGCGATGAGACATGTGAGGCGTATTCATCCCGGTCATTCGTATGCCAATGTTCACCTGTCAACAGTTCATTGGTGGAAGCATCGATACACGTCAGAATGCATGCACCAGGTGTATGATCAGGCGTTTGGTGCTAAGACGCCCACATACAGTACTTTGTTGCAGCTGGACCGCAAGCTGAGAGGCTTCCACGTGCCGCCTATCCTACAAATTGCGGGCTTTGGCAGTGCGGACGCACGGGCAGGGTCCTACGACTCCGTACCGCTTATCTTACAGCGGCATCTCGTATTGGCCATCAGGGAATCGAGTAAGTTTGCTTGTCCTTGTGGGCTCCAGTATATCCAAGGTGCTAAACTACTATGACTCTAGATCTGTTGTGTACGTATTGGCATACTTCCGATTCACGCCATCATCGGACTTACCATCTCTCAAATTAGACATGCACAGAGGCTTCTTCGCAAGAGCCGTAAGCGACCACCCGAAGGATCCTCTTGGTAGTCCGTATGGTAGTTCCTTCATAGCAGCTTATCGCAGCGCAGGGTCACTCGTCGCCCTCGTGCGCAATATTCATTCGCAACTGAAGGAGCTAACAGAGAGAATGTGGTTCCTGTGGACCCACCTGTTTTCATGCTCCGTCAGTGCGCCTTCTTCGCCATACGTGTCATGCCGGAGACTTACGTCCTGAGTAGATCATCCTGGGATCGATCGTCACCCGCTGTCCATCCATGAGTCTGGCTCCGTCTGCCCTCGTTCAATTGGATGCCGCCTGCGATTTATTTTCGAAGACGGCACATCTCTTCCACGCCGAGAAGGTCCTGGTGCGTGTCTGACCTAACCTCCGATCTTGGTCGGAAGTGAGCTCACTTGTCCGGGCTGTCCTCCTAGGCGATCATGTTGAATCTGCGCGAGAGAGCCCACGCGAGCCTTGCTCAGTTCAGAAACACGCCACCGACAAGACAAGGTAGTCTCCAGTCTGAACCGAATTCCCCGGCCGACGACAACGACGAACTTGCCGTTCTCGGAGGGCGCACGCGTCTCGCGGCACCGAAGGAGAAGTCCGTCTCCCCTGTGTTGGGTAGCTTCTCGCCGACGTCGGCGAACCCTATTGTTCCTTTCCCTATCAAGAGCGATCATCTTGACGGACAGGCACATCCAGTCGTCCTGGAGTACCTTCGCACCTTCGCTTCGCACCCTACGCAACAGCAAACTCAGCCGCAGCTGCCGTCACCATTCAATCCATCAGCCTTCGCAGAGATGACTCCTGTCTCCTCGACGTCGTCCAATTACTCACCAACCTCAGTGCAGTTTACGGGCCAGCAGATCTCACCGCTGGACATGAACCAACAGAGTTTACCGCAGTACTTCCCGGTCTTTGATTACGGCTACGCTGGAAATGCCGATGCTTTTACCAACATGCAGTTCAGCGAAGGCGAGGTTAACGGACGGTCGTATTCCCCTGAATCAACCATGCAAAATGCTTGGCAGGATTTCGTGGCGCAGATCGGGCAGATGTAGGATCTTTGGAGAGCGAGCGTTTGAAGCAGACTGAATAATACCTCTTCGATTTCTGGGTCTACTCTTCATGAGGAATATTTGGAACTTTCTGTACTATAATATGTTATTGTGGGTATGTTATGCGCTCAGGTTAGGACGCCGTGGGAGCAACATTAATGTAGAAAGAGGCTGTGCCAAGAGGACTGTAGGCGCTCGGGCTTGACGCAAACGCCTTGCCCGCCATTCACGGTCTGTTCGCGCCACGGTCCAGCTTGTTACTATACCTCTCTCACGACCTCCTGAAAGCAGGGTGCATCTACCTCTGCTACAACTGGATACATTGTGTACTTCGACTCTCGTTTACTCCACAGTCAACCTATTGAGAGTACCTTCCATGCCGACTCGGATATGCGGAACTGCAAGTGTGGCACCGTCGTTCGGTAGAGGGCGACCTGTATGTGGTTTCTGTCAAACTCTCGCAGATATTCATACTCTTTTAGGTGCAACGGAAAGTCGTTGTATGTGGAGACGGCGCATGTGGTAAGCAGAGTATGCGCCTCTGTGCTTATTCACTCTACAGCTTTCTCATGTAGGCAAGACTTCACTGTTGAATGTGTTCACACGAGGGTTCTTTACCCAAGTCTAGTGTGTGCTGCGTTTCATCTGGCGCATCTTGACAGCTGACTCCCATATGCTGCGATAGCGAACCTACTGTCTTTGAGAACTACGTCCATGACCTCTATGTGGACGATACTCTGGTTGAACTCAGTTTGTGGGACACTGCTGGTACGTGTTCTGCCTGTTGTGTTACGCGTGTATCTGAATAGCTCAGTTTTATCTTAGGACAAGAGGAGTTCGACAGACTGCGGTCACTCAGCTATGCCGAGACGCATGTCATTATGATTTGCTTCTCTGTGCGTGTCTAGTCGTCCTTGCTAGTCATGGAACTTATCCTTTCTTGACTTCCAGGTCGATAACCCAACTTCATTAGAGAACGTCGAGGCAAAGGTACATCATTTGTGCAATTTGTTGAGGCCGATCGCGTCTCATGTTGTCCTCGCATAGTGGCTTGATGAAATTCTTGAATACTGTCCAGGGGTAAAGGTGCGTCACATACTCCAGTATGCAGAGCTTGAAGCTGATCAATCATTCAGCTGGTCTTAGTTGGTACGCTGATCTATTCGATTGACATTGGTATACTCGCTCAATATGGTGCTCAGCTCTGAAGTGTGACCTGCGAGACGACCGCGCAACACAAGAACGGCTGGCTCGTTACAGCATGCACACTGTACAATACGAGGAAGGGCTCACGGTTGCTCGGCGAATACGTGCTTCGCGATATCTTGGTAAGCGGTTGGCGTCCTGAAGAGAGCCGCAGTTAGCCAACATTTTCATTCCTTAGAGTGCAGCTCAAAGCACAACCGTGGTATCACCGAGGTCTTCTATGAAGCTGCGCGTGTCTCGTTAACTACGAAAGCCAAAGGGTCTGGCGCGTACGGCGGTGGAGGCCACGGCTGCATCATCGCGTAGCGGTGTAAAGGTCGTGCATGTGTTCCGCTCTTTTCGCTTCCTTGTCTCCTTTCCGGCTATGCTGTTTTTATTCTACAGGACTTTGATTTTGTTGCAATTCCGATGCTCTAGGTTACTATGCATTGTCCATATCTCACACATGTCGTATACCTGTACTGTTTCTACGTGTACTATTGCATACCCTAGCAACTCGTTAAGTCCCTGCAACTTCCACATTCATTTCCCGGAGGCGAGTTGAACGAAATCTAAGTGGCATTAGCAACGAACTACGAATACAGCTCAAGCTACAGTCCGCTCCTCTACAAGCACGTGAGACCGCGTAGATAACAATCTGCAAGCACTTATTCCTCTGCCAAAGCTAGAGCTTGCTCAAGGTCGTCTTCTTCCTGAAGAACAGTGGGCGGGATCGGGGTACCGTAATATAAACGTTGACAAACGATTGCTGTACTGATGGTCAGTACCAGTGTTGCCCGGAGCCAGCTCAGTTCGAACGCACCGAAGTCGACTGAAAGTTGGAATATGGCGCACACCTTGAATTGCAGAGGGTTATTCTGCAGAAAGAAGTACACAGTCCTGAAGAGAACTTAGTAGCAACTTATGCTGTCCTATAACGAATAGTACTCACTTGAATGCGTCACCGCCTACCCAGCCGATCAATGTAGACATGCGGAAACCATACAGAGACTTCTGCTTATAGTTGCTGATGAGCTGCGGAATGGGTAACGTGCTCTCGAGACCGAGGGCAACAAAGCCAAGGATGTTCACGAAAAGCCACGAGCGACCAAATATGAGGAAGAGGATAGACAGGCACAATCTAAACGTCATTGAGCTTCAGCAAAACTAGCACAGGGTGAGATCATACATAAAGCCTGCCAGGAACTCGATATATTGCGTATAGTTCTGCCATTGCCAGAACGACAGCGGGCGCGAGGATACGCCTGCGTTTTCTGGACTTGCCTTAGGACGATAGAGGATGCAGATGTACAGCAGGGCTAGCTGGAGACGTAGGTTTAGTCTCCGAGAGAAATGTATCTTAATGAAGCGTACTTGTGCCACAATCATGAAGAGCGATTGGAAGAGAAGGGCGAACTCGAAACGGTTTCCGAGCCAGAAGAAACAACGAGTAATGTTGGCGAGCAGTCTAAGCAGAGGATTGATAAGAATACGGGAAGACTTGCACAAGCACACTCACAAGATAGCGCAAACATCTCTAGAGAACCCGATAGCGTCTCTAATGGCCAACTAGTCATGAGTTTGTGCAAGAGACTGGTCAGCACGCCGACTTACTTCTTGCGGACTATCGAGTACGCCTGATCGGCGTACACAAGTGGCGGCCCAACGGCCATTCCAACCGAAGCGAGAACAGATAGCCAAGGAGGAATCATGGTGCAGGTTATGGGACGTAGCGTGCAAGGTGGCGCGGTGCACGGCAAGGTGTTTGTGAGGCGCGGAGTTCATGCGCTAATTCCGCACGTTTTACAATCAGTCAAAGACATTAATATTCAGCTCCTATATTCGCCCTCGCAAGACATGCTAGATAAATATCAGAGGAGAAGTGTGAAGGTATATAGTACATAGCATATTATCTAAAGTTACGACGATACGCTTCCTGTTATTTATAAACTCTGCTTTGAGCATATGCTACAAGTTGGCCAGTTGAACTATGATGGATACGAGAAGTTCCTGATATTGTATGGATGGCGTCAGTACGACGGGAAGAGATGAAGAACACGCTACAATACCTTCTGGTCTTCGCAGTCCATAAACATGCTCAGGGATGTGCCGTCTCGGACCGATAGGTTAAACGAGTGTGGCAGGCATTCCAACTCTCCCAAGCCGTCTCCCTTCTCACGGATTTGCCACACTGATGAAACTGGGACGGATAATATGAGCTGAGAGTGCTAGAAGAGGTTAGTCATCATCACATGAGGAAGGTCTATGATACGAAGCTCACATGCTTATCGTTCTTGAAGAACGAGACAGTACCATTTTCTATGCAACAGTATCTGCGTCTCCAAGCGACCGATCCGGTTGTTTGCACTGTCACCCAACCGTGGAAACTGACATCTGCTGCCTCAACGCCAAATTCTTGCTTCAAGGGAAGCGGCCGCGCCCGACGTTCATCAATCATATGACGACGCGCCTCGAGCCGTCGCCGTTTCTCTTCTTCTGCTTGCTGTATCGAGCGCTCCATGTATTCCCTATGCATCTGAGCCTGTCTCTGCCGACGTTCCCTATCTGCTATGCGTCGTTCCTCGATGAGGCGGAGGCGTGCTTCCTCCTCTCGCCGCTCGCGCTCGGCTTTCTCGCGCTGTATCTGCGCAGCTTTTCTGAGATCTTTTTCAAGAGCGAGCTTGCGCATGCGCTCCTCCTCCATGTGCTCTTGCTCCAGGCGCTGCTTCTCGAGCTCCGATTGCACTCTATGTCGGGCTTCTTCAAGAGAGGCGGAAAGCTCATCCGTGACCTGCTGGTTCGCGGTCTCCAAGCGGCGCTTTCGTATTTCGGAGACAGAAAGCATACGTGGAGATGTGGTAGGGATAGTGGGCTGGGGTGACTTCCTGCTCGGTGCAGGGCGAGGTAATGCGCGCGAGCCGAGATGCTGCACGGAAAGCTCTCTACTTAGGAAGACGGAGCAAGCAGCATACTCACAGCTGAGCTCTGTGAGTGGCATGATGTTAGGTGGCTGCACGGAGATTTGAAGTGCGACGCACCTGCGTAGTTATCATCAGTCTGCGCGAGAGTGACAGCGCGAGTTGTGATCACGTCCTTTGGAGGAGGCGGAGGCGGAGGCGGCACCTCAGACGCGTCTTGCGCTAACCGGTGCTTGGAGCGGAGTGAGCTCACGGACCATTTAGACACGAGCAGTCTCAGGCGGGATGGGCGTCGCATATCAGATGCAACAGTGAGGTGGACTGAAGGCTGTCTAGTGACCATGGGGAGGGTCAAGTGGGAAGCTGGTGATAGGACTACGAGCTGCGCATGGTAATAGGTAGATATGCCTGAGGCCGTGCCTATCGTGATGGTATTGTTCCCAGACTTGTGTATTGTCGTTGCCGTCAACGCCATCTGCTACAGACAATGATCCCCTTAGGACTGCTGCTTTCGGACAAGCTTTCGCTATGTGCTTATGTAAGCGCTGAGTGCTTGCGTCTCGCCTCGTCCGTGCTCACTGTCGATTACGCCGTCCTCCTCATCCATGGCTGGTCTTGTGTCCCCACGTCCTGTCTCTTACAACAGCTACAACCCGTATGCCCGTAACGTTCCCCCTTCCTATCCCGAATCTCCCGCCAGTGTAGGCCGCATGGCCATCCACACACCTGGCCAGAGCATCGGGGGCTACCCTGGGACTTCCCCGGCAATTCCGACCGTGGCACATGAAGAGCAGAAAGTCTACGGTCTTGTCATTGACCTGCTGAACCCGGAGAAGCGCGAGAGCGCATTGTTGGAGCTGAGCAAGAAAAGAGAACAGTACGACGACCTTGCCCTGGTTCTCTGGCATTCCTTTGGTGTGTGCCAATGAAAGGTCTCGTCGCCGCTTTGCGTTAACCATCATGCGCAGGTATCATGCCAGCTCTACTACAGGAGATTGTCTCCGTCTATCCTCTACTGTCGCCACCGAACCTTACCGCGCACGCCTCTAACCGTGTCTGCAACGCGCTTGCGCTTCTACAATGCGTAGCGTCTCACCCCGAGACCCGCCAACTCTTCTTGAACGGCGAGCGCATTCGTAGATTGCCTACACCTGTACACTGACGTGGAGTATAGCTCATATACCCCTCTTCTTATACCCTTTTCTTAATACTACGTCGAAGACTCGACCATTTGAATACCTTCGTCTGACCTCCTTGGGCGTAATCGGGGCCTTGGTTAAGGTGAGTCTCCGTTATCGTTCCTGCATTGTATGAATCGAACATCATTACCAGCAAAATGACAACACTTCCGTCATCCATTTCCTGCTCTCGACGGAGATAATACCGCTCTGCCTGCGCATCATGGAAACCGGCTCTGAATTATCAAAGACTGTCGCTATCTTCATTGTACAGAAGATCCTACTAGATGAAACCGGCTTGACATATATCTGCCACACCTACGAGCGGTTCTACGCTGTCGGTACCGTGCTGAGCAACATGGTTAACCAACTTGTGGAGACGCAGGCTGTCCGCCTTCTCAAACACGTTGTGCGCTGCTACCTGCGACTCAGTGACAATCTGAGGTGAGCTAACTTTTGTCCTGTTCTGTTTTGGGTGGCTGATTTGATTGGGTATGTCCAGGGCACGTGAGGCTCTCAGGGCTTGTCTCCCAGAACCTCTGCGTGACAATACCTTTGCCTCGCTGCTCAAGGCCAGTGATTTGAGGTTGTTATATCAGGCCTTGACTGAGGTCCGCATTTTAGGGCGACATGGTCACGAAACGTTGCCTCACAACGCTACTGAACAATCTCAATGAATAGAGACGATGCACTCATAAATATTACTTTTGTCGTCAAGTCGGACTTGGCAAACATCTGGAGATTTTGTCATTATATCCTGTAATCCTTGTCTTGTGCTCTGTTGCTTAGTTTATGCCTTCTAATCCTTCCTGTACTATTGCAAATCACTACAAAGATAGAAATGTAGCTTCACATTGGCCAGTATACAAAGGATATTAGCTTGGAGGTGTAGAAGCTACATCAATAAAATTAGGGATCTTATTGCTAGTTTTATTGAAAATATTTAAACTTGAACCAGCTGGTATAACAAGTTTTGGTTTTGCTAAAACAAATTTGAAGGTGCAATGTTTCAGGACATTTTGAAAAGCAAGGCAAGAATTTGATCTGGTTGCAGACTCCTCACCAGTATGTCTGTGGATGTTGAGACCAGTGTTTCAGTCCACGGGACTGATGAGTCATCACTATTTGCTAAACTCATCCGACACTGTAACATCTACAAACGACTGGCACAAAACATTGGTAAACAATGGCATCACGCCGGCATGTGCACGCTGGACTTGGTAACTGCATGCACTTTTGATGTAAATTCCTGTGAATGCCTATAAGGTTTATTGAATACCATCAGATGTACGTTCCAAATGAGAGCGGTGCACAATGCAAGCGCAATGGAAGAATGCATCCCGAATAACTCAAGTCTCTGCAGGCTATAGTAATAGCTCATTTTTATTAAGGATTAGTGCTTGAGTCTTGTAGTAAGCTAAACAAAATAAATCTGCTGTGATTTAATTTGAAGTGGAGCTGTTACTAAGGGTCAGGGAATATACTCTCGCAGCTAGCATGAAATGCTCTGCAGCGCACCGATCATTCTGTTGACTCTCACGCTGACCCTCACACCTCTACTGTCTGTCTTTCACCTTTGGACTGCTCTTATACAGTAAAGGCTCTCCTGGGGCTGCCACTGAACATTCCAAGACAAAGACCAGGGTACAAATAGCATGGATCACTGACCTCGCTGGTGCGAAGAGCTTGTCATTGCAGATATAACAGGCATGGACAAGGAGATAATGCTGGCATGTGTTACAGGGATGACAGAGTGAACATGGCATATGGAGATGGATGCAGAAACGGAATGCCAACTTTGTTATGCTAGTGTCACATGACTGTCACTGGCCCAATTGAGCTTCAGATGTTAAACATTTCAAGTTGAGATTAGCCACCTTTGATCTATCGTGTTGAGCAGATAACACCTGTAAGCCTGTCGTGTGAATGCACTGCCAAAGTTGCCGGTTAGGCAATGGTCAAGCCAGAAGGATATTGGCATCATCATTGAGAACAACAGGTGCCTTGCACTGGTGCTAAACATCAATGTTGAGTGATGTCACATGTCCTTCGTGCAAGCGTTGGTACCAAAGATCCTGGAGACAGGTAAACTAGAACACTAAAAACATTGTATCAAGGGCTGCCTTTGCAGAGCCAAAAACTAATGAGCATCAGGCAGCTGTTCTTGGTCTTCACAATGCTTTACCTATCATACGGAGATGGTGGCAAGATGGATTTCTTGCTGAGATCCAGTTGACTCAACACATAATTCTTACATCCACATCGAATGGCCCGTGTTGTTTTCACTGCAGGCCTACCACCAGCAAACCTGATCTAAAACACATTTTAGCAGATCATGCATGCCTTTAATTGGTCTTGATAAAGTCAAGAGAGGGCAAGAGATGCGGCTGAGAATATTGAAGCTGCGCGCACTCATTTTTCTGGATTATTTTGATATTCCTGACATCCAAGCCTTGCTTTCATGGTCCAATGATAGTGGCATGCACTGTTTACATGTGTTTTCTGCCAGTCCTCTGTGGGTGGTATGGCGTCCTCATGTTTACACAATTAGTATGACTCATCACACAAAGCGCTCACTTCAGCGTCTGGAGAGATCCAGCAGTCTTACCACTCACGGATGACAGTAAGGAGTCTGATCTGGTTGGCAGTATTTGAGGCAGTTGTTAGAACTGAGTGGCCTCTTTATTTCTGCTTATTTATAAAGACATGTAAAACTACTGTTATGTCATTGTGAAGGGTGTTGTATTGCACTGATCTAACAACTCTCCTTTCATATTTAGATATGATGCACACTGCCATGAATCGACCTCTATTTCCACCTATTTTCACTTATTTTCACTCTTTTACCACATCTCTTCTATTCTCATTACTTTCCTCTATCTTCACCTCTCAACCCCTGTACTGATCTAGCCAGCACTAGACCTAGTCCAGACTTTAGCCCCTATATAAGTCAGGCTTTGTCAGACTCAGACTCAGCTCCTATGTAAAATCTTGAAGTAGGTTAGAGTGTGCTTAGGTAATACTATATAGTATCTATTCTGTAAGGTATATGAGACTGCAGACTTTCTGGAATAAGATCTCCAATCTTGAGCTGGTCTTTATCCTGACCACTACTTTTGACTGGAGTTCAGCTCCTCTCACCTCCAGTTTCTTGCTGTTGAGCATTAGCTCCAGCCTATAGTTATCTGTGCTTATCTCTTGTAGTCACCTGTTTTTTGTTAGTGTTGAAGTGTGATTGTTGCTGACATAAGCTCAAGGCTTTTAATAGCTACACTAGGATTATGTGGGCTGTAGCATATGTGCTCAGTGGGTACAATTTCTTCATTTCTTTTATGCTGCAATATAAATAATAATAACTTAGATATTATAATAGCTTACCATTTATATGAAACTTAGAGCTATATAAAGTATTACTTTACAACTTTGCAAGACATATTGACAGTAATCTTTCATCATTTTATTATGTGAATCTTATGAATAATGTGCCTACCACATTAAATAATAATAAGTTACAGGCTATTATACTCTTTATTTACAACATCTGACTATAAAATGCAAAGGCCAGCTATGCCCATCTGAACTATTGACAATTTGGGCTGATGTCATGCTACAAAGCTGGGATTCTAAGTGATATAGGCTACCATGCTTCAATCCATTATTTATGATTACTTCCTTCACTAGCCTGATAGCACAGCTACTGCAGGTGGTATTGGCTATTTGTCCTGTGTTGGCATGTAACCACTCTAGTGGAGTTCTCTCATCAACAGGTCCACTCGTGATGCTTTGCCTCTGCCATCTGTATGGGGAGCATACAAGGAGCAAGTCAGAATAGATCATATTCTTGCTTCTACCAATTGTCTGACTGGTCCCACATGATGTGCACATGTATTCCATGTGCCAGAAGTCCTCTAATGGTCCAAGCATATAGCTACATAGTTCATGAATTATGATTTCTGAATGTAATGAAGAAACATTCTGTTGGAAGTAGCACTTTGGGGGTCAGTTTACTTTCTATCACAAATCTGCCCCTCATTCTATAACTTGCTATACTTATGCTATTGACATGAAATTTGGTCCACACATATCTCTATCATAGATCCACATGTTAAAAATCATTTGGTCACAATTGGATCAGTTTTGGCTCTTCAGCATTGTGTTTTATGCTTGAGCTGGGGACTTGGATAAATTTCATAAATAGGCCACTTTGAAAAGGCACAACATCCAGATGATCTTTATACCATCAGATAGAGCACAGTGAAAGGGTCCAGAATATGTAAAAAGATGTGCTAAATTAATTGTTTAAAGAGGTGATTTGGAAGGAACAAAGTGCGAGAAAACGCCAGAATAGGCGCCCAATAGGCGCCACAGCATGTTCTGCCTTCTTCATCACTTCTACTTTTCCTCACATATTTTTGTCCATCTATACCATACAGCATAGAGTCTGCTATATACATACTAATTGTGTACTTAGTATGAGAATGGTTCAAGACCATGGTTCAGTGATAAAGTGCTGACTACTGGCTTTAAAGCTTAGTGCACAGTGCTGCACAATGGATTGTGAACTTAGCAGTGGCTAAAATCGCGTGATATTTTGTATTTCTATTTTAAATACTATCTAGCACTATGATGAATATAGGTAGAATTATTAAAAGTTATCTGAAATTATTAGAAAGGTTCTATTTATTCATTGTTCTTACTCCTCTCTACAGATCAATAATTGTCCATAATTCACAAAAATATTCCAAGAGTCTTCTTTACTATGCCTTGCAAGTATTGAGTTACCATATTGTGCATATTCAGACATAAAAGCTCATAATTAAGCATATGGTCATGATCTTGTGCATAACATTTAATCCTTCAAGCTACCACACTTAATGGCTGTTCAACTCCATTCTGCTATCTCAGAGCACTCATATATATCTTACAGAAATATATAGTCATACTATCTGCCATGATATTACTTTATCTTAGCCTGCAAAACTAAAATTCATCAAAATAAAGAGGGTCCCCCAGCCAAGATTGAACTTTCAACCTCTATCCAATAAAGCAACTGCTCTCTTAAAATGCGCAATTTGCCACCTCAGATTCAACTAGGAGGAGGAGTAAGTATATCTCATACACTTCTTTCACCTTAATCACCACCATCTCTACTTACAACATGCTTCACAAGTGTAACTTTCCAAGTCTTCATGGAGATTTGACTTGCTCCTGATCTTTTACCTTGCTTGCTACCTTTTGGTGGTTTCTACTGGCACTTTCTTAGACAAAATCACTTTACAAACCTTTGACACAACTTTGAACTGAACTGGAATGAAATAGTTGAAGACACCATTTGTAAAAGCCCTACTCTGTCTTGCTCAGACAGACTGTACAAGTAAAGCAATCCAGTTCAGATTGAGTAGAGTCTAGGTCATAATTGCCTCCAGCTACTCCATGGCATAGTTACAGAGACCATCTCCAAAAGCCATGTTCTGTCTTCTAGCTCAGACAGGCTAGACTAAAAGAGTTTTCCAGTTGAGAATAAGTGGAGCCTGGAATATAACTGCCTTCAGCCACTTTGTAGCATGGTTACATATGTTGCAGCATAAAAGAGATGAAGAAATTGTACCTGCCGAGTATATATGCTATGGCCCACATAATCCTAGTCTCGGTACCTTCATTGGCATGTAGTGAAAACTCTACAAAGTCTATTTTATGTAGTTTAGCTCTGATTGAGTCTCTGGCAGTATTCAAAGATAGACTCTTTCTTTCTGCTGATTTGCATGTGTTGTAGAGCAAAGCTTGACACTTCACAAGAAAGCAGGGATTGTGGATGATAGTGACAACACGGTGTGAACAGTGGTCTCACAACTTTGGTATAGCTTACTCAACTAGCCTGATTGACTAAGTGTATTATGTGTTAGTAATGTAAGGAAGACAAGTAACTAATAGGCTTACCTAGCCCAATTGACT